TCACCCCCAGCCAATCCAACCGGCTGGAGGCTCTTCAGCCCAACCCAACTAGGCGGAGACTAGATCCCTCACCTGCAGCTCTTTCAGCTTCTTCTGGGCTGCAGGGCCTTCTTGAGCTTCTCCTCCAGCTGCTGCTTGTCGTTCTCCAGATCCATGATGTTCTCCTGGTTCAGCTTCAAGTCGCCTTCCAGCTTCCTCTTGGCCCGTTCCAGGTCCATCCGGATCTTCTTCTCCTGCTCCAGGGAACCTTCGAGCTGCGTGGAAACAGAGAAACGGGGAGAAACCTCAGGTTTTCATCACCTCTGCCCCAGGAAGCGCCTCGGCAGTGCCGGTGGTGGGACCGGCCCACACTCACGTCGTCCGCCTGCTGTTCCCGCTTGGCTTTGGCCCTCGTCAAGGTGTTGACCTTGTCTTCCTCCGCCTGCAGGTCATCCAGCGCTTGCTGGTGAGCTTCTTGCAGGGCCTTCTTCTCCTTTGTCAGCTTGGCGATGGTCTCGCAGCCCGGCCCCATCTCCTCTGTGAGGTTCTTGACCTGCGGGAGGAGAAACATCGGGCCTCCAGCTTGGTGCCAGCGGTAGGGCAGAGCTGGGGGAGGTTGCTGTTGGCCTTGGCCAGTGAGGCCACTTCGGTGTGGGAGAACCCAAAGGGCCTTGGGTCTTCTTGACGTAGACCAACCCAACCAGCCTGGGATCTCCTCGACCCAACCCAGCCGGGCCGAGTTGACTCGAGTCTCCTCACCAGCCTGGGATCTCCTCGACCCAACCCAGCCGGGCCGAGTTGACTCGAGTCTCCTCCGCTTGAGGTCAAGGCCTCTCCTCGCCCTCACCTTGTTCTCGGTGGCGTGTTTCTCCTTCTCCACCTTGGCCAGAGTCAGCTCCAGGTCATCGATGTCCTTCTTCAGCTCCGAGCACTCCTCGTCCGCCAGCCGCTCCGTCAGCTCCTTCGCCTTGGCCTCCAGCTGGATCTTGTTCTTGATCAGCTGGTCGCAGCGCTCCTCGGCGTCGTTGAGGTTGTCCTGCTCCTGCGTTGGGGCGGCGGGTGAAGTGGGGTGCCCCGGGG